CGTCTCGCGCTGTTATTTTTTGCACGTTGTGAAGAAAGCCGCGAAACGTGAAAAAAAAGCTGTGTGACGGACCACGAGCGCAATGCTATAGTGCTGCTATAGGCTTTTCTTTACAACGCGGAAAAAATAACAGCGCTAGACGTATCGTACAGGAAACAATTTAGTTGGTGGTTTCTGAAAGTGCTCTACATATCAGTGTTCATATCTTGGGCGTCCAGCCCATAAATAAAATAGGTAAATAAGAATTAATAATTAATTAGCATGAGGAGAAATAAAAAAAATAGCCCGAGTACCTACAGGGCTGGTGCGAGTAGTACGAGTTTGGTTCAATTCGCCACTGAAGTGTCTTTCATTTTCAAATTCTTGGCTCAAGTTATGTGGGACACCCTGTATGTTCTTGAAGGTGAAGCTGAAGTGTCCTTCGATTTCGCATATCCGAACACGAATCTTTGCGTCCTCAGGCGGATTGCATAATGCCGTCGGCCGAGTAAATAGAAGTTGCGGCCAACGGAAGGGAGGAGGTATATACATACATTAAACCATCGGCGGTGAAGATATAAATGACTTGATGACCTTGTGGGGTTGATCCACTCGTCTGCTGTGTTGCACTGCTGAAAGGCGGCACGCGAGTGTAAGAAAATATAACTTTACCGAGACTTCGAAACAAAAATAAGCGCAGACTTCTTTCGCGGGAATGTACAGATATAGTCAGGGACAAAAGCTTGGGTAATGAAATCGGAGCGTGATCACTAATATCGGAGGCAAGCACAGAATTTTGACAAGCTGCTGTAGAATCGAAGCTCTTCTTTGTACCTATACTATATAAAACCGACTGGTCCAAGTCCTATACTACAAATGCAGTAAAATACAGTGCTCTAGACGAAAAATATTTATCATCAAAGGCACTGCCATGAAACCTAAGTGGGTATACCGTAAAAAGAGAATTTTCAAAAGATTTTTGCACCGTCAAAAGGTTTTCGCATCCACCAAATAAAACTAAATATTAGAAAAACTTACTAACCAACGATCCTTGAAATGTGGAATGTACGTAATTGTGCACGGTTGTAACACGCACTACACCAGCATATATTGAAAAATAATACAGTTTAAAAACGACATTTATAATGTGGTGCAAGTGCACTATCAATTGCAGATTTAACATTAATTTGTTTGAGAGGGAAGGTGGCAGGGGAAGGGAAAGTTGCCACAGGTTAACCAGGACTGATATTGGTTCGAAATGCGACACTCGGGAGCTGAGTTTGCGCGGCTATTGCGTACCATCACCACTCAGCGCACCGTCATGTTTACATAACGGTTAGATCCTGACGCTTGGCACAGCCTCCGTTCCCAGTGAGTAGGGACAATATCGAAGAGAATCGACCTGTAAACATTTAACGTGTCGTAAGATATAACTATTTCCCTCAAGTCGGCGATATTCTGGAGACCTATTTTTACGAGGGCGCTCACAGTATATCTGAACCATCTGTTTGTTTACTAAACTGCGGGATGTGCAAAGCTCTACATTTTTATTGACGCCACTTATATTTTCTGCGCAAGCATCTGCTGATTTTAGTTAGGTTTATTTTTGTTTCATTAAACTTCAGTTTTAGACAGCGCGGGGGTCTAGCGGTTACAGTACTCGGCTGCTGACCCACAGGTCACGGGATATGATCCCGGCTGCGGCGGCTGTATTTTCGAAAAAGGTGGGGATGTTGAAGGCCCATGTGCTCAGATTTGGGTGCACGTTAAAAAACCCCAGGTGGTCGAAATTTCCGGAGCCCTCCACTACGGCGTCTCTCATAATCATATGGTGGTTTTGGGACGTTAAACTCCACATATCAATCGATCGTGCTGTGTCCTTCTATAAATAATATCCGTTCCAGTTCGTGCTGTTTTTCTTACAACGTGTATTTTTATTGGTTTTTCTATATATGCTTCAGAAAATTATCTTTCACCAACACGCCGGCTTTGGCGGGACTGCTGCTGCCGGCCGACACTGGGTCGATCCTTATCTGGTGTGGAAAACTGTGGATGTATATAACTGAAGGTTGTATTTATGTGAATCGAGACGACGTTATATAACACATGGAGTGCTGAATGAGAAAGTGTTGATATCACACATATGTTCTGTGTAACAACAAAGAAATATTTCCTAAAACCTGAACGTATCACGACAGCTCACAACCATTTGCGAATCGTATTGCCAATGAGGTTAAGTGCTACATTAGACCGCAACTTTGGTTTAACCCTTTTTCATTTTTGGATTTTATATTTATACGGTGCGAGCCATCGTATGCGTATCACTAGGTCACACGAAATGTGCACGCCTTTCTCCCTCAATTTTTTTCAGTCGAGAAGCTTTACACAAAGCCGAAGAACAAACAAATCGATGTATTTGTGACGCCGCTAGTAGCTACCAGCTACTAGCGGCGAGTGTCAAAGGTCACGTTGTAAGTGAAGATGATTTGAAAGACTTGACGAATCTCACTGGAGCACCGGAACGTGGAGGGTACCCATCTGTACCTTTAAATAACGAGGACTTACAGGATTCACCGACGAAATGTTTTCTGATACTGGCACTATTTATGAAATGGTTACCTAGTCATACAGTTATGCAGCATGTTGTAGAAGCACGGTATAAAACATGAAGAAACAATAGTCAAACACGCAGTCATTTCTACCATAACCTGGTGACGAAGAGCAGCCCTACTTCAGCATAAGTGTTCGTTTACGATATAAGGCGGTTGTTATGTAATAAGGCCTTGAGCTTCCGTGCTCTTCTCTTTCTTCTTTTTGCACTTTCTCAGAACGTTCAAATGATTCTCCGAGTACATATAACACAACATTCGTTTTCGGCTTACGCGTGCGAATTCATTTTTATGGTGAAACTACATAGAGTTTCATACAATCATATCTATAGGGAAATCTGGCGCTGCGATTGTGTACCTCAATGGGAATTATGGGAAGTACGGCCTTCGGATTGAATAGGATTAGCTAGCGAACTGTCAACTGACTTTTTTTTTTACAGTTTCAGTTTCGTTCTTGCCGTAGTGAGGGTAGTGGGGTACGGTGAAAAGCACTTAAGAAGCGCCATGGTTGTTCAGAGAAGCTGAAGACCACTAAGTCTGAGATTTCCTGTGCCTTCGCAGCTTTACGAATCGTGTTTGACAGTTAAAATGAAGCGTTGTCCACTCACCGCTGGGCATAGATGTAGCGTCTCATGTCAGAGCAGGATGTTGCATCGAGTTCATGTTTTTTCATGAGCGCGTCTTGCCTACACTTGTTTTAAATTGACTGCAAAACTATGAAGAAGCCAAGTAGACGCACCATCACGCTCAGCTGACTCGACTTCACAACAAACCATAGTTGCGTGGGGGCCAGACCACTTGAACAGACGCACCTGGCGTCGCAGAAGACGAAACGTTAAGTGTTTCTCACTTAATACTGTACTGTTATTTTCATAAATAGATAATAAATATTTTCGAGAGAAAAACAAGCATGTTTGCTTTCAAGCGTTGTAAAAAATAATTCATTAAATCTTGATACCAAACCTAGAACGCAATAACAGAGCGATGTATACTTTGATGGTTTCACTTTTGCCGCATCGTCACGAAAACGTTTTGCAATGAAGTTGGCGTACAAATAAATGAAGCAAGTTTCAATCAAATATAGGTTCATATTACTTTGTTCCACACTCAGAAAAGAAGCGTCGCAAATCTCAAGAACGTGATCCGTCCGAAGCAGAACCGAAGCCTGTACTTCCCATAATTCCCATGGGAGTACAAGCGCCTCTGAAGGAGCTCGCGTAGAGACTAGTGCCAGATTCCACTCTAGGTATTATTGTATGAAACTCTATAGAAAACTATTTGTGAAACATAATGTTTTACAGGTCTTAGGTGTTTTTATTTTCTAGAAGTATACACTTTCGCATCGAAAACAACCAAAAAGAGTTCCATTTACATTTCTTTATTAAATCTGGACATTTCCTTGGGTTACAAGAGGTCATACATCTGAGAATTAATTGTGCAGTGCTCTACTGGCAGTGAAAGTCGTGCGTCAAATACTAAAGTAAGGTATTGCCAAATGGCCGTTACGCAAATAATATGTAACACACTACTATAAATGATAATAAATGTGAGTGATGAACTATTGAGTGTAACAAACTGTATACTAATAAATAAAATCAGCATACAAGGGAGTCAAAGTACTTCGAGTATTTACAGGTTACGAATGCAAGCAATGGTAGAGCTTAAACAAACAGTGTTGAAACATGCAAGTACAGCAAATCAAACAATGTATTCCGCACATACTAGCATTACACAGTCGGCGAAGTAAACGCAATACGTGTGGGCCCTGTGCGCATTTGTGTACTGTCCGTACTATACAGGCCAGGTATGAACTCATGATTTGCGAATATAATATATTTATTACCAAGAATTGCATATTGTTTTTGTTTCCTGCCTTCCTGATTTCAGGCAGTTTCTGTCATCACCCTTTTAGATACAGAGTAGCATGTATGTGCTCTGTATAGAATTATCTGTATTTCACTAAATTGGTCTTTTTTTTTGCTTTTTGGGTATTTCAGCTGCCATGTCGCGCATCATTTCCCGCCACAGGTGTATACACTATACGCGAGCTGTGACCAGCTGTCGTAAACCTGTTCCCTCCTATAGCGGTCACACTCGTTGGTATCTGCACGACGGCTGCGAGCCATTACGAAGCCAAGTCTCCTATTCCTAAATAAAAGTGATCATCTATGACCACCTGTCGCAGACAAACAGTTTTGTCTCATCTGGAGAGGACCAAAACATAGAACCTACGACGAAGATAGGGGCGTTATACACATACCGTAAGAAATGCGATGACAAGTTATCGTCGCAGAGCATCATCCACGAAAACAGTTTTTCAACACGGCTAGCGCTGAGGTTCACATTCAGTCTTGAAAGACGCCGCCTAATAAGTAGACACAGTTGCAGATTAACTGGACACTGCGCAGCGTTTCATTGACCTTTCTCCTTCGACTTTTCGGCCAGTGGTGGTCCGGACCTGCCACCGGCCCTGTAAGTCTTCAAGTAGAAGTTCGTGAACAAGGCAATGCCCAGCAGAAGCTGAGCCACCTCGAGGTAGCACAGCCCTTTCGGGTAGGCGCAATCGAAGAACAAAGGTAGGGACGAGTGGGCGCAGACCACCACGAGTTGAGCGATTTGGATGGTGGTGAGGTACTTCTTCCACCAGAGGTACTTCTGCACGCGTGGACCCAGGGCAGTGAGGAAGTAGTAGGTGTACATGATGACGTGCACGAACGCGTTGATGCAAGTGCCCAGCACGGCCTGGCCGTCGCTGCCGAAGTTTAGCCAGATCCAGCCACTGAGCACGATCAGGGCGTGGTGCGACACGTGAAGGTGCGTGATGTGCGAGTACTTCTTCCGGACCACGAAGAACATGGTGTCCGTGAAGTCGGCGATGCGTACCAGAAGGTACCACCAGTTGAGGCTGATGACGGCCATGTCTCGCTCGCGGTCAGTGTCGATTCCCTGGCAGAGGAAGCTATAACCACCACCGAAAAGAGTCAGCGGCAACATGCGGTACAGAAAGTAGGCGTTCGCAAGCACGGTGAAGATGTTGTACGCGAGGATAGCTCGCCTGACGTCATAAGGCTTGCGATCTTTCATCCACCGAGGGCCGCCAACCTTGGCTACGTACACGTACGTGATGACCAGCGGTATGATGAAGCTGCCCCTGGTGATGTTGCTGTTCCATGCGTCTATTCGCGTGTCTCGGAACGACCAGACGTAATCGTACAGTTCCTTCGGGTACGTGAGCACGGATACCATGGCGCCGCGGTTCAAACTCTTGCAGGGTTTCAAGCAGCCGTTTCGTCCTCGCCGGCGAGCAGCCGGCGCACTTGATCTCCGAACACAGCGTTCAAATAACGTGCACCGTGGCGTGCAGCATCAGCCTGGCAGCCCGAGAGGTTCGGTGTTCTCAAAGGACGAAGTGTGGCCTTTGCGCGACGCAGCAACTCGCGCCTGCGTTTTATATAGGCTGTAACGGCAGTGCCTTCTCGCGTTCTGGCACAGGTTCAAAAAGGCAAGCGCACTTCGCGCTCGCTGAGTATACCCGCGAAAGGCATATGTTACGAATCTCATCGGCCTACCGTTTCTTTACCTCGGTAAAAGCTGTTATCAAATCACGAAAACGGCCGTCTGTAGCCCCACGCCACCGACGTCGCCGCTGCCACCGCTGTTGTTCGTAACCGCTATCCACAAAAGAGGAAAAAAAAAACGAAATGCTAAAACATTACGCCGGGTAGAAGAGCATCAGTGTTGTCACGACTTTTTTTATAGAAAGTGCATCAGTAGATTTTAAAATTGCCTTTGTGCTTAGTTTTTGCATCACAAATTCAACGCCACTATCAGCAACACACCGTAATGCACTGTAGCTTTCGTGAAGCAATGCAAATTGTGATTCTGAGATGGTGTCTCGAAGGTGTCAACCAAACACCATTCAAGACTGATTAAATATACAGCAGTTTCTGATGGCTCTGAGCACATTGAAGCTTCAGTGTTTCAGGCGTGAAAACACACCTTCTGAAAAGACGGGCGGATCGAGAGTTTGGCTGTGTCATTTGCATGAAGGAGCGGGCACGACATTTTGCCAAGAGGGTATCAGCTCATAATAACCGGCAGGGGTTGTGTAAAAAAGGGGCCACTTACCTCCCTCAAGCCGCACCAGCCCTTGAACCATATCCAAGCTACGCCAGGGCTATCCCACCCGCCAGGTCACGTTTAGCATGGCTTTGCTCCCCCCCCCCCTCCCCCGAAGACAAGATCGTCCCGATGCCCATGCTCATGGGAAGTACATGGAGAGCGATAGGAGGCCCTAACAGATCTTCTTAGAAGATGTCCTTGGACGCACACAATAAAATTTAAGCGCGGTTGAGGTGGTTCTGTGCATCCTTAGCACTCTTTGTATTCGCACCCACAAGATTGCTTTACATCGGCAGTGATTTGATTTGAAACGCTTAAAGAACCCCAGGGGGTTGAAAATTGTAGAGCCCTTCACTATAATTATAGACATGCTTTGGCCGCAAATAGCACAAACACAAGTAATGGAACATACAAGGACAAGCACAAGCGGCACCTACAACTAAAGTAGACCAGGCGCAAACCTAGACTTAAGTAACAACATACAGACATGCGCGGCGTTCACACAGCCATCTCCTGTCGCCGACGAGAGCTCTCGCAAGTGGTGCCCCCCGTCCTCGGACTCCTGCGACCGTGTTTCCATCTTTCCAATCTCTCCTATCTCTGTTATGTCGTCGCTCGCTGTCCTAGCGCATCTATATATATATATATATATATATATATATATATATATATATATATATATATATATATATATATATATATATATATATATATATATATATATAATCTTTAATCCTATCATTTTAATCTATCCTTACCCCCATCCCTTGTGAGCTACTGTTGAGGTGTCGCACGCTGATGCAGACAGTTACGGGGCTCACGTTTCTCTTTTTTTCCCTCTATAACCACAATCTCTTCACACAGTCTTACGCTATCTAGGTATCAAACAATCTCTTCTCCTATACGTACATCGCCACCGACGGTTCCCTGATACACCTTTCACCTTTCTTTTTAATGTAATAGGCTTCCATCCACTTACGCGCAGTTTTATACCTACCCATACCTAGAATCTTACTCATTAAAACGTGGTACACACCCGCGCGCTTTACAATGCATAGACAAGTGCGTGCAAGCCATCCTTCATTAGATTTAATTCATGCTCCCTAACCCATTCATTAATACAACGCCCAGGTAGTCCTTGATGTATGAGTTGCCACAAGAAGAGGAAGTCTCATAAACAACGCCTCTGGCACATTTCCCGTACATCGTGCCACGTTTCTTGCCTCATTTCTGACGGCTTGCCTCCAACCCCCGAGCAGATCTCGGACACAGCTGAGCCAGTTTTACGGGCGCGGAAAAGGCGACAGGTACTCCCAAACCGGCATGCTGCCCTTTTCAGGTTGTGGGAGACCTTACGAACATAAGGAATCACTGCAGGTCTTACGGTTTCGGCTCCTTGTTCCCCGTGACAGCTCTATGCTTTCAGTCTTTGCTTTCCGCAAAAGTGCGTCGGAGACAGCTTCCAATAACGAGTCAGAGAAATTCGCAGCTTCAAATCGCTGGAGCTGGTTTTCGAATGATGCCTGCATCATGTGCATGCACGATTTTTCGGCGTCTCTCATACCCATGTCGTGGTTTTGGGACCTTAAATGCCGGCAAACATTACATTATAATCTATCTACTGCCGATTCTTCATCGTGAATCTCAGCGCGCTATTTTCCTTGGAAGTATATACCACTTAACCAATGCCTCCATCTTAATGCAATATTTTTCAATTACTTTTGTGTATAGAATGATTTTCTCCGTCTACGTGAATTCCACCAGCACGTTACAGGAAGATGTGCCCCGGAGCCATAAAGGCTTTTCAAAAAGCACTACCTGAATCTCGCAGCTGTAAGCACAGTCCTATTAATTTTGATAGAGAGAAGTGGCAGAGAGGAAGAACAGGGGAGTGTAGCGTGGAAAGAAATAAATCGTTCCGGTAGTCAAGCTTAGTCGAAGAGTGCTTGTTTGCAAACTTAACACATATGTACAGTGAAATTCTTGCCAAATTTCAATGCGATTACGAAAATGCGTGAGTGGCTTTCCTGCAAAAGTACTTCGCACACGGAAACACTGGCTAACGGGCTCGTTTAGCACTCTGAGCTTGTTGAGTGCTTGCGCACGCCTACTCATTATAGCGAATGTAGTTCTCGAATTGAACTGCAAGGCGTACAGAGCGAAAAGGCGATATGACCTGAAGAAAAGGCAGGGGTGGGAAAATTTTTTTTCTGATATTTAGTTTTCCATGCGGTTCGTTTGAAAAATACATCCACTGACGAATTCCCACCAACTTTCTCGCAGTGTCATTATAGCGAGCTGATTGACTTTTTCTTCTTTTGTCAGTCATATCAAATCAAACTCGTGAAAAACTAGCAGATTTTGTGATTGTTTCTGTAGGAAGCAGAGAAAGTCAGTACATTCGGACACCTTATAACTCAATCAGCACAAAAATTTAAAAATCAGTACGTCTACTGATAAGTCAGCAGCCGTGGCAAAACTGAATGGCATTCGAGCCCGCGCCCTCTGCGAGAAAAGAACCAGTATTCTACCACGGAGCCACGCTGTTTTTGTTTTTGGTTTTTTTCTTCTTGATATTCTGGTGCAAAGGGCAGAGTAAGATTAACATACACACAAGTACATTTTGAAACGCTGATAAAAGCTGTTCAGTCTAGAACATTTTCATATTGTTAAGCACATCAAGTATAGTAACCCAATGGTGTGAAACAGCCTTGGCTTGCACAGACGTAGGTTTTCTTTGCCGAGGACTTCGAAGCACCGCGTGCCTCTGTAGAACACAGAGCTACGCTGGTGCTTGGAAATCTTCGGCAGACAGAACCACTGCAAGCTTCGTATCGGGGAAGGAATCACGTTAACATGTGTGTAAAAGAATTCGTTGCTGTGCTCTTTGGTTCGTAATCTTAAAACTTGGAAGTACAACGTCGAAGAAGACAAGAAGGGACACAGATTGACAGGACAGGCTGCAAACTCACAACAAAGCTTTATTCAAAAGTCTCCCTAAATATATACAAAGTTGAGTGGCGCACGCAGGCGCAGTGCACATCACATTCTACAATGCTAATCATTATCAGCAGAATAACAAACATTCATATCACAACGAAGTTTCTAAGAACAGTTTTTCGCTACTGCGTAGCACAACAAAAGTGTCACTACTACAATCACCTTCTTGATTTTTAATGTAATAAGCCTCCGTTAAATTGCTCGCCGGCGCACTTACACTTCTGCCGAGAATTTGCTAGACAGCACTGGTTCACATGCACAGGTATCACAATGCATAGGCACAATAAAATGTGAAATTATTTTTAACATAGCCCCGCCGCGGTGGTCTAGTGGCTAAGGTACTCGGCTGCTGACCCGCAGGGCGCGGGTTCGAATCCCGGCTGCGGCGGCTGCATTTCCGATGGAGGCGGAAATGTTGTAGGCCCGTGTACTCAGATTTGGGTGCACGTTAAAGAACCCCAGGTGGTCTAAATTTCCGGAGCCCTCCACTACGGCGTCTCTCATAATCATATAGCGGTTTTGGGACGTTAAACCCGACATATCAATCAATTATTTTTAACATATCACTCGCGTTTCCGTGCCAAATTGTTGACACAATGACAGCCCTGTCCGATATAAACCCCTTTCCCAAGCCCTGTCCGATATAAACCTCCTTCCCAAGTACGCAAATCCCAAGGTGCATGTGACTAATAGTCGTACTTGCTTTTTTACGCACGGCGATTATTTAAGCGGTCCTGAGTTACGAGGGCACCGCCCCAACCAGTTTATGTCGCGCAGAAAAAACTGCAGGTACGTTGTACCTGGTAGCCGCATCTTTTAAACTGTGTGCCACTTCGCGCACATACAGAAGCACTTCTGGCCTTTTTTTTCGGCACGAGCAGAGACGAGCTCGTGCAGGACATTGCGCCCTGTACTCGGTTTCTGTCTTCCTTCTTGTCAGATATTGCGCTTCCAAGTTTCAAGATTGAAAAAAAAAACATGTGTATTGCAACGATTTAGAAGAGTAATGTAACAAATAGGCGTCATACAATGCGAATTGCGTAAATGGTGGGTCGTTTAATGCTTTCAACCCCTAACAAAGGGCTCAGTAATATTTCTTTGTTATCATCACAGCATCAACAATCCGCACATAATGCCTTAAGGGTGTGTAGCGGGTACCACGCCTCTCTGAAGAACGTGTAATGATACAGTGGGCTTGTTCCTATTTCACAAAAAATTTGTGTGATTTATGGCGTAGTGGGTACTGTGCAAGCGTAGCTGTAGTAATTTCCGAGGAGTGTTTAAAAAAGGGCTTTAGAAAGGCCGTTTTTCGAGCTTTCGACGTGATTGTGCGGTGCATTTAGCGCAGGACTGGTGTTTTGTGTCCGATTCACTGTAGAGTTATATTTCCTCGCACTCGCATTCCGTATCTCAGGTGAGCAGGCCAGAGAAGCAATACCGAAAGATGATTATCTATTACGCTTCTTCAACGCCGAAGGTTTAGGGCGTGCCCTCCTCCGTTCCGTTGGCCGCGACCTCTGCTTACTTGTCTCGTGACCTTATGCGATCGGCTTGAGGCCGCAAAGATTATCTTTTCGATATGCAATAAACTCATTCCACGTGGGAAGTAAAATAAAAAAAAAGCAGGGCCGGTCGGAAAGAACTTGTACGAAATCAAAAGGAAGCGCTTTCATAACAGTGCGGGACATGTCGCAGTCACTGAAGAATTATTTAGATGCGAATAAGTGCTGGTGCTGCAAGGTATCGATATCTCGCTGTTATAGCTGCCTCGGAAATGCCACAGGTGCGTTACAGCCTATGACGTTGGATTTAGGCCTTCCTAGACGATACTTTTGTTTGTGTCTTTGTTATAGTTCCCCTTGGTGAGAGCTTTAGGTGTATATAGATGCGAGGCAAGCTAACGTGGGAAGATCCATTGATAGGATAGTAATTTCTCCTTACGGTTTCGCGACTGCCATTGAACACACTCTCTGCAGTCACTTGCACGCACAGCGACAACTGTTAACAAGATATGTTGGCGGAAGGGTAGGCTGCTTGTATATAAGAAATGAAAGAAAGCACGTTTGAATTTCAGAATGAACTAGTCGCAGCTTCGCTACAGCTGGTCGCGGTGCCCATCTGCTGACCAAAAATGTCATCGGTTCTATCTTGATCGCCGTGGTCTCAATTAGATGGAAGTCAAGAGGGCTAGACTTCTGCGCACTGTGTCATGACAGTGCACTTTAAAACATGCCAGGGGGTCCAGATTTCGGAAGCTCCTCACTATCACATGTCTTGTAATCATACCGCAGTTCTGGCTCGTAAAACTGCAAGTGTTAGGAGGTCTTGGTTTGGACTGCATTTAGTTGGTCCGAGAACCCGGCGGCCAACAGCCATGGCGAAGCCACAACGATCATGCTTATACACGACAGCGATAAGGATGCATAACACAGGGCATTGTGATGATGATATATACAGATGAAGATCTGTAAGTTAAATGCCCACGATATTATGTTTCCGTGGTGGTGGTGGACAGTAGCCATAATTTCGGCCTCGGAAATGGTGTTTTTCTGAAGTGAATCCATCAACTGCATCTACTATTCCAATTTACCGGCAACATAATATTACATAAATAAATGTTATCACAATACACGTGTTGAATCTATGTGACAAGAAGCTCCCGCACAACATATCAATTAAATGCTGTAAACTACGTGCCATTCATGGCGTGGAATTTCGTTGTGTGCAGGATAAGGTGTATTAATATCATGCAATGTGTTTAACTGAAGTACAGCGAAAGTAGCAGCAAGTATATACATACTTCTATTTTTTTTTTGCCACTATACCATGTACGCAAGCTGTAGGAATGACCAGTCCACAAAGGAAGTGAAGCCGCAAACGTGAAGAGAATTTCGATTAGGGAACTAAGCACCTGGAATTCTTACTACATCACTGTACGACTGTGAATCACGGCATCATGGCTTGCATGCTCGCGTGCCCGAATGGACTCTGCAATTAGGTACGGTAGCTCCCGAACACGCGGCCAGGTGATTTGAACATCATCACCAGGAGCAGCTTCGTTACGCAAGTAGAAGGTAATGCACCACTAGTAATAAAAACGTGGGTGTCAAACTAACTATTGAAAGGAAAAGAACAATACAATGTGTAAATAAGCAGAAGTAGTGTCCAACATATACAGAACACAATGTACATTCACTAGTAATGTGTACAAACAAGGAAAAAGTCTGACCGTGAACCACTGACGTCGAAATACGTAAGTGCAGTGTTCTGAACGATATAATCAGCCTACAATAACACGTATGTGGTGTCGAAGCTGCAGACGTCCAAGCATCAAACATTGCTCGTGTCTGTGTACTGCCTCTTCTACACATACTAAGCTTATACAAGTGGCTGGCAAATTGAAAACATTGAGCACCACATATTTCCTCCCTTTTCCTGTCCTGTCTTCCAGCTCTTAGAAAATTTCTGCCATCAATTTCCTTTCCCTACACAGAGTAGCATATAGGTGCCCGTTTGTCACCAGTGTAACTATCAGTGCTGCAATAAACAGATTTCTCTAACTAGTTGTCTAGTTGTTGGTGTTCAAGTCATGTTATAATGAATTGTATCTCTCAACTGCTGTAATATACACGAACTGAGACCAGTGGCCGTACGCCTGCGACCTCCTAGCGTTCGCACTTGTTGTGGGTATCTGCACAACGGCCGCTGGCCATTAGAACAACATATCTTTTATCCATCGACATAGTAATCGCATATGACCTCTTGTCGCGGAAAACCGGTTTCACCCATTTGAATGCCCGCAACATTAAAACCTACCAGGAAAACTGGATTGTTAGAAGTGAACCGCAGTGCCTGAAAAAAATGGCAAGTTCACGTCAAAGAACACCACCAACGCTAGCACTTTTTAAGCTACGTTAAATTGAGGTACAGACTCAGAGTAATGAAAGACACCGCCTAATCAGCACACCTGGTTGCAGGTTCGCCAGATGATGCGTGGTGGTTTATTGATCCTTCTCCTTTGCCTTTTCTGCCAGCGGCGGTCCTGACCTCCCACCGACTCTGTAAGTCTTCAAGTAGAAGTTCGTGAACATGGCAATGCCGAGCAGAATCTGAGCCACCTCGAGGTAGCATAGCCCTTTCGGGTAGCCGCATTCGAGGAACAAAGGTATGGACGAGTGGGCACAGACCACCACGAGTTGAGTGATCTGGATGGTGGTGAGGTACTTCTTCCACCAGAGGTACTTCTGCACGCGCGGGCCCATGGCAGCGAGGAAGTAACAGGTGTACATGACGATGTGCACGAACGCGTTGATGCAACAGCCGAGGATGGCCTGACCATCGCTGCCGAAGTTTAGCCAGATCCAGCCACTGAGCACGATCAGGCATGGTGCGACACGTGAAGGTGCGAGATGTGCGTGTACTTCTTGCGGGCCACGAAGAACATAGTGTCCGTGAAGTCGGTGATGCGTACCAGGAAGGTACCACCAGTTGAGGCTGATGACGGCCATGTCTCGCTTCGTGGTCAGTGTTGGTTCCCTGACAGAGGAAGCTATAACCACCACCGAAAAGAGTCAGTGGCAACATGCGGTACAAAAAGTAGGCGTTCGCAAGCACGGTGAGGATGTTGTACGCGAGGATAGCTCGCCTGACGTCGTACGGCTTGCGATCCTTCATCCACCGAGGGCCGCCAACCTTGGCTACGTACACGTACGTGATGACGAGTGGTATGATGAAGCTTCCCTTGGTGATGTTGCTGTTCCATGCGTCTATTCGCGTGTCTCGGAACGACCAGACGTAATCGTATAGTTCCTTCGTGTATGTGAGCATGGAAACCATGGCGCCGCGGTTCAAACTTTTCTAGGGTTTCAAGCAGATGTCTTGTCCTCGCCGGAAAGCAGCCGGCTCACTTGATCTCAAAACACAGCGTTCAAATAACGTGCACCGTGCTGTACAGCATCAGCCTGGCAGCCCGAGAGGATCGGTGACGCTAGACTCGTGTGACGCTAGATGCGGGAGACGTGGCCTGGCTCATACGCCATGTTGTTTTCTAAAGCACTTCTTTTTCATGTTCTACCAACCACCGCTATCTTCTTACGTTTTATATATATATATATATATATATAATATATATATATATATATATATATATATATAATATATATATATATATATATATATATATATATATATATATATATATATATATATATATATATATATATATATATATATATATATATATATATATTGTTACGTTTGAATGAGACTGGTAGACGTTGAAAGGGGCCGTTTATTAGGTCGCGAGGGGCAGCTCAGAAGCGGCCGACTGGGTAACGATCCTCCTGATCCTCTTCTTCTTCTCTCGCTCTGGGCGACAAGTGCGTTCACCGTATACGCTTCTTTTTCTTCGTGCATATACGCAACATTCCTCTCCGCGCAGACGAAGGCCGCCGGACGAGTCAGTCGAGTTGTCGTGGCGTGTACAGTTTCCGGCGGGCAACATGAACCACTTGAGTTTGGCAGCTCGTCGACACTCGCCGTGAGACGAGCTATTACATAGTTGACCTCTGTAAGTCTGTCGACAATCACAAAAGGTCCATCGTAAGTGGCCAAAAACTTTTGGCATAACCCGCGCTTGCGCATCGGAGTCCACAACCACACCAGATCACCACGGCGATAAATCACTGGTCGATGGTGAATGTCATAGCGTGCCTTCGCCTTGTCTTGCGATGCCAATGTGCGCAGTAGAGCTATGCGACGCGCCTCTTCGGCGAGGCAGAGAGTCTCGGCGACAGTGACGTTGTCGTGGTCACAGAAAGGCAATATCGTATCGATTGTGTACCGGGGCGAACGGGCATAAAGCAAGAAGAAAGGGCTATAGCCTGTAATCTCATGCTTCGCGGTGTTGAACGCGTAAGTAATGAAAGGGAGTACGTCATCCCAGTTCTTGTGGTCGCAGGAAACATACATAGACAACATGTTGATAATGGTGCGGTTGGTACGCTCCGTCAGCCCATTAGTTTGGGGGTGGTATGGTGTCGAGTGACGCAGGCGGGATTCACATAAACGGAGTAGCTCCTCCAAGACATCCGCTGTGAATTGTCGTCCCCGATCACTGATAATCAGGCGAGGTGGGCCGTGTCGGAGGATGACGTACTGTAACAAAAACGACGAGACTTCACTGGCAGTTGCGGAGGGGACGGCCGCCGTCTCGCAGTAGCGTGTGTGGTAGTCGACGCAAACAATTATCCATTGGTTGCCCTTAGCCGATTTTGGGAAGGGGCCCAGAAAGTCAATGCCCACTTGTTCAAAAGGTACGCCTGGAGTAGGTATCGGCTGCAGAAGACCAGCTGGACCAGTTGATGGACGTTTGTGACGCTGACATCGCATGCAGCTTGCCACATAGCTCTCAACAGACTTCTGCATACCAGGCCAATAAAAGCGCTCTTTAGTCCGGTGAAGCGTCCGCGCCAAACCTAAATGTCCAGATGTAGGGTCGTCGTGCATGACACTCATAATAACTGTTCGCAGGCTCTCCGGGACCACTAGAAGGAAACGCGCGCCACTACTGGAGAGGTTCCTTTTGAACAACAGTCCATCACGCATACAGAAACGGCGGGCACTAGTAGAAGCGGATGCAGCGGCGAATAGTGGTGCCAGTTTAGCATCCTTCCGCTGTTCTGCTCTGAAACTGGGATAGTCCGGGAACGTAGGCGACACAGACGCTACAAGCTGGTCAAGGTCATCGGATTCACAGTCTGTTGTACTAAGTGGCATACGTGAAAGACAGTCCACGTCAGCATGTCGACGACCACTCTTGTAAGCGACGGTAAAACTGTATTCTTGTAGCCGGAGTGCCCAGTGCGCAAGGCGACCACAAGGGTCACGAAGGTTGACAAGCCAACACAACGAGTGGTGGTCGGTTACGACTGTGAATGGGCGTCCGTACAGGTAAGATCTAAACCGCTGAATTGCAAATAATACCGCCAGGCATTCTTGTTCCGTAACAGTGTAGTTTTGTTCCGGCCTGCTTAGGGAGCGACTTGCGTATGCGATGACGTGTTCGCGGTCGCCGTAACGTTGTACTAGGACGGTGCCAATACCTATGCCACTAGCATCCGTATGAAGCTCTGTCGGAGCAGAAGGACTGAAGTGCTGAAGGACGGGTCGTGACGTCAGCAAAAACTTCAATTGACGGAATGAAGAATCGCACTCCGGAGTCCACTCAAAGGAATTGTCCTTTCGTAAGAGGCATGTGAGAGGATATGCCACGTCGGCAAACTTCGGAATAAAGCGGCGGAAGTACGAACAAAGCCCCAGGAAACTACGAAGCTCCTTGACGGAACGCGGCGCATTGAACGCCTCAACTGCTGCTGTCTTCTGGGGGTCAGGGCGGATGCCATCCTTGTCAACGAGATGCCCGAGCACAAGCGTCTGGCGGTCTCCGAAGTGGCATTTCTTCGAGTTTAAAATTAGGCCAGCGTTTCGGATGCAGTTCAAAACAGTATCCAGACGAGAGTTGTGTTCACTGAACGTGCGGCCAAAGATGATGACGTCGTCGAGGTAGCACATGCAAATGTTCCACTTCAAGCCACGCAGAATGGTGTCCATAAACCTCTCGAAGGTTGCCGGTGCATTGCACAGTCCAAATGGCATTACGTTGAATTCATAGAGCCCATCAGGGGTTACAAAGGCAGTCTTTTCCTTGTCCTCTGGGTGCATCGGAATTTGCCAATAACCGGATCGTAAGTCTACGGAGGAAAAATAAGAGGCCGAATGTAAGCAGTCTATTGCGTCCTCTATACGGGGCAGCGGGTATACGTCCTTTTTAGTCACGGCATTCAGTCGGCGATAGTCGACGCAAAATCTCCAAGATCCATCCTTCTTCTTAACAAGGATTACCGGTGCTGCCCACGGACTGGCTGACTCTTGTACTACTCCCTTTTGCATCATTACCTGCACTTGGTCGTTGATAATTTGTCTTTCTGACGGGGAAACACGATACGGTTTTTGGCGAATCGGACTTGCCGCGCCAGTGTTGATGGTATGGCGCGTTCGAGACAGGGGGATAGGGATTACTTTGCTCTTCTGCGCAAAGTCAAATACTGAAACGTGCTTCAACAGCACATTCATTAAAGTTTGGCGCTCGCTTGAGCTAAGCGACTTATTTATCGTTGCCATAAGCGCCCCGTCTAAATTGTGACAACCAGTTCCGTCACGTTCTTCCGGCACGTCTGTGAGCTCGACCACTGATAAGGTCGCGTGTTCTTTGCTGACCGAAGCTAATTTCAAACCATTGGGTAAGGTCACGGGCTCAGAGGAACAGTTTACAGTCCATAGGCCAGTTCTTCCGCCATCAATCGACACCACACAATGGGGAACCAACACATTCTTCTTCACGCAGTTTATGTGCATTGGTTCTACGCTCGCATCGAAGCTGTCAGAATCAGCGCCGCGACAAACAACAGGAACACGTACGGTAGACAACGCAGGTATGAACGTATCGCCACAGACACACAGCGTAGTTTGGTCATTCGCTGGAGTTTCCAGAAGTTCTGAAGGCATCTGGCCACTCACAAAGACTTTCCCCGTGCGACAGTCTACAGTGGCACCACATTCTCGCAAGAAGTCCATGCCGAGAATGACATCATGTGTCGACCGAGGAATAATCGCAAACTCTGTCGTTATCATAAGGCCTCCCAAAAATACCTCAGCACTACACACACCAATAGGGCGCAATGGCTCTCCACTCACTCCACAGAACGTCGAAGTTTCATCCCAGGTAAAAACAACTTTCCGCCCTAACACGTCTTTAAAAGAACCACTCATCACGGAAATCGTTGCACCTGTGTCCACCAACGCCATCACAGGCACATGATCCACCAAAACACGCACTTTGTTTTTAAACATACACACAGGAGGTATTTCTCTTAGTAGCACGTTTCCAGCGACCTCACCCCCATTGGCCGCGCTGGCTAGTTTTCCGGTGGCGAAGAGGGCGCTTTGCGACGCAGCGGTGAAGGAGAACGATGAGCACGAGGTCGCGGTGGGGGCGTTAAACTCCTGTCAGATGCCGGGGAGTAGTTGCGGAAGTTGCTGGGCCAATAGTTGTCATCAGGTGGTATGTGGGCCGGCCGCCGGACACCATGAGGCTGTTCGAAGGGTCGTGAAAAATCGCATGGTTGGTGATACCGAGGAGTCACCCGACGGTTGCAAAATCGCGATATGTGGCCTGGCACACCGCAGGAATAGCACACCGGCCGAGGTCGAAACGTCGGTCGCTCGTCGATGAATACAGCGTCATCATTTGCTCTTGTGTGACGGATGTACTGGTTGGGTGCGTCGTACCGAGACGTCGGGCGTCGAGGAGGCATGCGCTGAGAGCGTCGGTCATACCGCGACGCGGGAAATCTGGTTGTCATTCTTGACTGTGGGGCTGGGCTGTACTCCACAGTTGCCGCGCTCATCGTCGGTTGCCATTGGGTCAAAGGAGGCACATCCATAGCCTCACGTGGCAGACACAACTCGCGATGGTCAGCTGTCGAACACGACATTTCTCGGTGCGACAGTTCCTCACGAACAATCTGTCGAATGGTAGAGAAAGGTCGAGGCCAGGATTCGTGTCCACACTGGCAACAGTTGTAACGTTAGCCAGCCGACCAAACTTGGGCGCAATTCGACGCATCTTGAGCGTTTCAAACGTTCGGCAATGCTGAATGACGTCGGACACAGAACTGAGGCTTTCTTTTCCAATTAGAAAATTATACACGTCCTCAGCAATCCCCTTCAGCAGATGCCCAACTTTGTCCTCTTCCGACATGGTAGCACAGACCACCTTGCACAGCCTTAACACTTCTTCTATGTAAGTGGTGCATGTCTCACCTGGTAGCTGTGCCTGTTGCGACAGTGTTTGCTCAGCCCGCTTCTTTCTAGCAACCGAGTCGCCGAAACACGCCCTGAGCTCTTCAACAAAAAGAT